ATTTAATGGCATATTTTGTCAGGCAAATAAAGAATGTGACTCTAATACTGATATGTATAAAGGTTTTGTATATATCGCAGGAATTATCTTGCAGTACATTGAGTTTACTTTTTGTTCATAAATGACATATTCTAGTAGGTTAATATATACATTTCCGAGGGCAAACTTAATGGTTCCATTGTTTTCTTTGGAACAAAATCTTTTGGAATTTTCCCAACTATAATATTCATAGGTTTGGCAACTTTATTTATATAAAGTAAAAGAAAATGACTACTGGTTCATTTGAAATAAAAATTGTAGTGTACTTCATGTTTAATAGTTTTAATTGAGAAATAATGTACAAACATTGAGAATATATTTAGATATTTGAATTAATTTTTTCTGAACATAATAGTTTTTATACGCATATCTTACGCTAACCACATTTACTTGTGATATATTTTCTTTTTGGAAGCATGAATCTAATTCTAGATTTGTTTGTGAAATCAAGCATGAATTTACTTATTTATGCATATCATATTTAAGTTGTTTCATAACACAAGCTAGAAGTATTGGTCATTGCTTGTAAAATAATGATTTGATTTCAGTAATGAATCAGTTTCCCTAGTGAAGTTACAATATGTTTAGTTGATATGTAACTCATTCTATATATTTGAGGTATTCTTTGCGGAGTATATCTAGGATTACAAACTGAATCATTTATGTCTGTATTCTAATTCTCAGTTTTATATTTTTGATTTTACTTTGTATCCTGTTAACATTTGCATCTTATATGGTGCAATTTTAACTTTGTTTGTTTATTTGTAGTTAAGCACAAAGCTACAGAATGGGTTAACTGTGCTGTAAAATTGTATGTTTATGCAAAATAGTCAGTCAAGACAAAAACAAAAAACATCCATTTTGGAAATAACATAACAAAATATAATATTTTGGGACAACATGGGATTTATTGGTCCATCTCGGCTTTTCCATCCAATAAATTAATTTAAATTAACTTAAAAAAATCATAAAGCTAGCCCTTATTATTTATATACTTATCAAGCTTTTTCTTAAACTCACTTAAATTTACTGCCTCTACAACACCCGAAGGCAAACCATTCCAAAGGCCAACCACCCTATTAGAAAAATGAAACTGTCTTAGATGAAGATGACTCCTACGTTGCCAAAATTTATATTTGTGTCCTCTAGTCCTACTATTCTCATTGTTAAATACGAAAAAAGATGATGCATAAACACTATCAATTCTCTTTACAACCTTAAACACCTCAATCAAATCCCCCTAACTCTTCTTTTTTCAAGAGAAAAAATTCACTTTTGAAAGTTTTATTGTTAGAATAAAGTAAATTAAATTCATTAAGAACTGAAATGTAAAAGAAAATACAATAAAGCTATAATCTTCTAGTACTGTACGTCGTGGATATGGTTCTTTGTTATAAAGAAGAAAATCAAGAGTTGTTAGTTATGTAATGAAAGTCACAGATCACTTGTATCCAAAATATTAAACTTTGTTCATTATAGAAATTTTGTTAGGTAACGGATAAGGCATTATATTCACTTCAACACGTTGCTATATTTGATTATATTACTATGTTAAGTTTAAACTATGGAAGGTCAGCTTAATAGGTAGTTTAAAGAATGCCCCCAGTGGCACAGCGGTATGTCTTCGTATTTTCAACGGTAAAAACCGGGTTTTGATACCCGTGGTGGGCAGAGCACAGATATCCCATTGTGTACCTTTGTGTTTAACGTCAAACAAACAAACAGTTTAAAGAATACTGGAATTTTAAATTTTTCTTCAGTTACTCCTTCCGGGAAGATCATGCGATAAATAAATTTTTATATAATTTCAAATGGTATTAATGCAGTTACATAAAAGATAATTTTTAAAGCTAACACTGGCTGGAATTCCTTATGAGTTATATAATTAATATTGAATTTAATTTACACCAAAAGTAATAACTTCCTTAAAACAAAAATTTTGTAATGAAACCCTAGGTTGTAAAAGTACTAAACCTATGAGATCTAAGAATTTATTAGTCTAATGTCTTAACAACATTTAACCATATATATATATATATAAACAGACACTTTCTGAATGACGGTTATTAAATGCAAGTATAACAAAAAACTCTTTAAGCATTCGCGAGAGTCAATCGAACGATAACTTTAAATTAATACGTGAAAATTGGGACTTCTCCTAATTTCTTTTTTTAAACCAGCAAATTGAGAAGCCGTCACACCAATTTATTTATTTATTTGAATTTCTTGGCTTTAACAAAGAAGCATTACGAAAGTTTCGCATAGAACAAGTAGTATTAACACCTGATTTTTATAACTAGTTTATAAGTAGCATATTTAACATAAAGTAGGTAGTCTTAATACCTTATTTTATAAACTAGTAAAAATATAACTTCCGTTCTAGTTATTTTTTTGTTTTGATTTATGTTGGTGTAGAGACAGGTCCTTATTTTGTTTTAAAAAATATTATGAGAAAACCTAGAAGTCCCGAGAATTCTAGTGAAATCTGATAAGAATAAAGGGTTTGTAAGAGTGTGTAGGCCCGATAGTATGTCTATGTATTAAGAAAATAATATAATGAAGTTGTCGAAGTAGAAAAATAAACAACAACAACAATAAAAAACATAATATCTAAAGTTGGAAAATATCTAAATAACAAGATGTTGTATGTCAGAAGAATTTCACACTTTCTAATGAAATCCTGAATTTGAAACCGGTAAACAGTGTTGCTTGTTAAAATAGTTTGAATTCTGTTGGACATCAAAGAAAAAATAAAAGATACGATTAACGGCAACAAAGAATTTAGTAATGTGGTCAAAATAAGATAAATTAATTTCTGTAACATTGCTGCAATAAATAGACTAATATAGATTAAAGCAATTGAAATTAGAGGAAAAACTCTACAAACAAATTGCACATCTTCACTGCTAGTGCTAGCTTCCTTAAAAGTACATACTATTCCCAAGTTCCCAAATAAAACCAATTAATTTCACCCATCAAGCTGGGTTCAGAAATATAACCCACTCATTGAACCCATCACACCAAACAAACTATTAAGCTTAACTCCTACACTAGTTTTAACCATTGTATATGTGGCTTGTGGATCTCAAATAAATAAACATACGTAGTTAAAAACAAATTATTTGTCTGTAGTTAAGTACAAAGCTACACAGTCTGTATTGTGCCCACGGATGGGTATCGAAACCCGGTTTTAGCGTTATAAGTCCGCAGACTTATCGCTGTGCTATTGGGGGGGGGGGCACTAATCTATAACTAAATAATTACAAATGTACTCTGAGTAAATATTAATTTGATCTACTCTGATTAAACATTAATTTGATAAAAAAAATAATAATTCATGCAAGTGGATCGATGTGATGATGAGGATTAAGGTTTATTTTCTGACAAGTTTACCCCCCTTTTCACCCTTTAAGGTACTGAGCACCATTAAGTAATTATTACGATTACAAAACTTGTTATCTATTTTCCTATATTTTGTCACTTAACTCATAAAAAATTTGAGAAGGGAACGTTTGAACTCGTTGAACTTAAGAGTAAACACAAAAACGTTTTTTTTTTATGCACAATGAAAGATAAAATCTTTGTTAGATATTTCAGCCTACTAGTTTCAGTACCACAGATGATGGTAATCGTGTTACCGAAACTATTGTGTCAAACGTTGTTTTTGTTTTTTACCTTTAATATAACAGCAAAATGTGCATGAAAAGAGATCATGTCTAGCTGAATTTGTGTGAAGTAAGCAAAATATTAGGTTACAATAAAAACGTTTTTGTTAAGCGCAAAGTTGCATAATAGGCAGTGCTGTACTCACCATAGGGATCGAATATCTAATTTTAATGGACTAACCCCTCACGATTACCTCTAAGTCACGAGAGATGTGTCTATACAAAAAATAGCGTTTTATTTCTACTTTCTAATATCATAAGTCACCTGATATATCTAATAGGACTTAGGCTTAACTAAAAAAAAACGGCATTTCCTAAACTTGATAAAATTATATTTTCGTATTTTTACTTGTTATATTTATTTATAAAAAATAACATAAAGATATCTCAACTTTGCAATTAAACATGGCGATTGCTCTAAATAATAAATTTGAGATCCTTTTAACACTAACATTCTGATAAACTTTTGTTATTAGTTATTATTTTTAAGATAAACAGATTGTTATGTTATGTCTGCCAATCCAAATGTTTTATCTTTCTTCATAATATATTTTACACCGTTTTTGTAAATGCATGTAAATTCGTTATATTCTAATCAAAAGTGAAAATAAATTTAAATATATATATATTTTAACTCTGTAAAATTGTATTTATAGTGAAATTTTACACACTACAGGTAAAAACTAATTTATATTATAAACTCTAGTTAATGGTGAGTTAATTTTAGAAAATTGTTAATCCTTGGTTTTAGAAATAACCACTTAAAATCATGGCACACATACAGTGTTGCAGTTTTTATGTGACTCTCTTTTGTAAGCATTAACTACAAATTTTCAATTTGAGAGCATATCGTATTATGATAAAATCACTAAGTAATATTATCATAAAATAAATAAGTGAAGTAAACTGTTTATTCTAATTTTTAAAAACTGAAATGTATAAAACACACGTAATTAAAGGAAATAATCGACAAAGTGGATTCTTGTTCTGTTTACCAGGCATCATTTGGGTACTTAACGCGTTATTATGAAGTTCAAGTTCATATTAGGTGACAGCAAAAAATGTATAAATATCCATTTATTCTATTGCTAGTTACTAAGCTGACGCAAAACAGAATGATGGAATTGAATGGTGCTAAAAGTAATTTATTTGATTACGAAATTAATTTTACATAGCATTGTAAAATCAGAACACGAATTGCTTACATTACATTAAAAATATGCTATCTAACAAGAAATTACAGTGTGCAAATAATTGAAAATTATTTTCTGTGAGATCATTTATGAAACAAGAAATTGCTAAATTGTCCTAGAAATACACAGAAACAAAATGACCAATTTGACACTCTGAAGTCAACATCGTCTGGCAATCCATTTTGGTATTCTGACGCTGGAAAGGAGTGACTAGTTCCTGTCTAGAACCATCAGTAAACAAGACTTGGGGTTAGATGGGATAGAAACGTAGCTCGAGGAACTACAGGAAATATAGAGGATGACGGTTTTACTTCTGTATTATCAAGACGATCTGACACACACAGCACGTGGGGAGAAAAACCTGATCTTGACTGGTTCCTTGTCCATCACCATCTAAAGTTACCAATGACTTCTTGCTGTATTTTTGTTTACATCTACTTTCATAGCCAGGTGGAAGAGAGATCTTGTTCGCGCAGGCCTCGTTTGGAGCGCTAAAATGATATATTTTGAAAATTAAAAACAATTAGATAAACATAATTTGCAGGAAATCATAAAACAAATCATATATATCTTACTTTGTTGAAGAATTACAGAATGAATTATAATACGTCTCCCCTCTGCTTTACGACATTTTGTAGTCGCAATTAATACCAGGTCTTAGTTCAAGTTCACGTAAAGACGTTGCTATTGAAATTAAATTGACATTCAACACAAAATGATATATAAAGTAACACAATGTTTATTAAAATATTGACAGAAAGTTTCATTTTCTGTGAATGCATATTATAGACGTATATATAGATATATATATTTATATGTGTAACTTTGTGCATGATAAGTTAATTCTAGTGATGAAATAATGTTTCCTGATTAAAATAATGTTTACTTTTAATACTTTTCGCTAAGATGAAAAAATTTCGTTCATTTGAGAATATTAAAATAATATTTATATATTTTAAAAGAAAAGCTTAGCTATGATATTTTTCAAAGTTAATTACGTCAGAAACGCCGTCTAAATCATGTTGTGAATATTGTTATATGGAATCTTTTGGGGAAAAGATTTGAAAATATAGTTTATAAATTGATTTTACGTTTATATATGTATAGTATATTTAGTTCTATATGTTACTCCATTGAATTTGTACTTATTGTATACAAAGATAGAAGCAATAATTGAAACTTTTATACGTTTTCAATAGCGCTATTCAACTTTATTACGAGTCCGATATAACGGATTCTGGATCATAACGCACACTTCAGACCTCCATAGTAGAGTACAGATTGGAATACATACTCGTACTATGTGAAGATATGTCATTAGATTTTTTATCACGTTTTCTGCAACTAATTCAGAGAGTTTTTCTCAATAACATCAGTAGGTGTGATCTGAAAGCACATTCATCTGAGAATTACGTTATTGAGCAACGCCAACTTTGATCAGCCCAGGTAGGATCGAGAAAGAGTGTCATCTAACGAAGCTTTATACGAAAAATGACTTTGATATATATATACGTATATTTCTGTATGTATTTCATTCCGAAAAAGTTTGAAGTTATTCAGCTTTTTAGCCAAACTTAGGCCTCTGTTTTTCTTACATCTCGGCGTGGTAAATTGTGAATTGGAAACATATACTTTCACATTAGATAACAAAACACAAATCATGATCAGCTAAGAACTGCTTCTACAACAAAACTTTTATCGCTGTCTTATTTAAGTGTATTTTCCTCCTAAAGGATTTTGCCATTGCTCGGTTAACCTTTTTCGCTGATTATAAAATAAAATCCGACCAGTTCTAAAGTCTACTTATTTTCTCACCTGCACACATCGACTCTGATGACTTGCTTAAACCGAGGATCTTTGTCGGGAATATTAACAACAAACTTCCATTGCGACTGGTCTGTGAGACCAGCTTCAGGCAGAATGAACATCGTCCGAATAGCACAGAGTGGCTCTTCTTCCCTTTGTCTCCGTCCTCTGTAAAGATGAACAGAGCTACTCTGACACTGGTTCGAATACAAAGGTCTAGGAAGTAAAAATAGAGCACCTTTTTACTATTATAATGACAAAACTGATTTTTACAGGCATTTTAACTGTGCAATTAAATTTCAAATATGGACATGTCAATTTGATTGTTTTTTTTTTTGTTTTTGAATTTCGCGCAAAGCTACACGAGGGCTATCTGCACTAGCTGTCCCTAATTTAGCAGTGTAAGACTAGAGGGAAGGCAGCTAGTCATCACCACCCACCGCCAACTCTTGGGCTACTCTTTTACCAACGTATAGTGGGATTGACCGTCACATTATAATGCCCCCACGGCTGAAAGGGCGAGCATGTTTGGTGTGACAGGGATTCGAACCCACGACCCTCAGATTGCGAGTCGAGTGCCATGCCGGGCCTATCAATTTAATATTTTAGTTTACTTTGTCCTACTGCTATTATTAACATAATTCTAATTTCTGAATCTGTAATACCCAGATAAACTGTTAGCTGAAATTATACCATCGTTTAATAAGTTAATATTTACAAAATGCTGAGTCACTAAAAGATAAAAAAATAATCTTCATAATTAAGAGATCGTTTATCACCTTTCAGAATTGAAGTTTTGTATTTGAGACCTATATATACAAAAATATATTAGAAATTTCGAATTTAAAGTATTATTTTAATATTTGAAGTAAAATATCAAATTTCCAACGGTTCTTTTCAAACACTTAATTTTGAGCAACTAACTACAAGATGAGAAAAGCAATAACAGGTTAGTTTAATCCCACCTAGAGTTATTGAAACACAGAAAAACAATACTAATCATACATGTTAAACATTTTATAAAATAACAATAGTTGTTAACTAATTTGTCTTTCTCTGTTTTGTACAAAAATGTTATTTAAGAATATTGATCTCGAGTTGCTCCTTTACAGGAAAGTTACAAGGAAGTTACAAAGACGGTCAAACTTAATACCTGCAACAATAAACGGTTCGTCTTGGTGGCGAGGATTACATCTACACTTTTCAAGGGGAAGTCCATATTTTAATAATAAGTGACCGGATGTAGCAGTTACAGAATCAGACAAGATATGGTCCTTAATCTGGGAAAGTGTAATGTCTGCATGACTTTTTTTTTTAATCTCATAACAGCAATCCTAATTTTTAAAGACAATATAATAGATGTTAAAGAACCGACAAAATCAAGAAAAGTTTGTTTTCTTAAGTGCATATCTACACTATGGATTATCTGCGCTATGTTCATTGTGGAGAATCGAACTCCGAATTTTAGCGTTATGAGCCCTCAAGTTCTCCTCTGATCCACCTGAGGAAAAGGAAGGAATTTAGTTGAACTGTTGGTCTTGTGAAAAAGTGCTAGATCTTGGAGCTGGCGAGCCGGGTTTGAATCTGTGCGATACCACAAAATATTCTTCTCACTTTAAGCTGTCGGTGCGTTATAATAGTGACAGTCAATCTGTTAGCGTGTATGGTATGTGGTAGGGTGTTATTGGCTAGCTGTCTTCCCAATGATCAGTAGTTCAAAATATAAGACGGCGATAGACAGTTTTTCCCCAAAATGGACCACAGTATATTTGGAGACAAAAGGGAAATCCTTAAATGAAAAGCACTTGTACCTACAGTTAAACAAGGCAGTGGCTAAACCATGATATGGGGGTGATTTATCAGAGCAGGAAATGAAGACATTTATGTGAATGAAGAACGAATGGATTTAGCCGTGTATCAAAACAAAGTACAATGATATGATTTATTAGTAGGCTGATTGACAGAAGGTTTATCTTTCAACAAGACAGTGACCCATCTCACTCACTCTTATAGTATTCACACCTGTCGATCCCTGGTCGCTTTCATGAAGTCTCTCTATCTCTCTCTGTCCTGTGCAGCCGCTGACCATTATTCATATTCTATAACAACATTAAAGACATTCTCTGCAACACTGTATCACTATCTTTTCTCGGTCTTCCTAATAGCCTTTTACCTTGTGGTTTTTCAAACATAGCAATCGCTATTGTCTTCCATTCTGGCCCATTTTATTCTCTTTTATTTTACAATATTTCTTGATATTCACAAACTCTTGATTATGTCGTCTTCTATATTGTCATGATATAAAAGACTATTTGGTTTAGATATTAGCGATTAATTTATTTTTTGTGAGTGAATATTTTATTATTGTTTAGTTTGTCATAATAAGAGTTAAAAGCAGACGATTGTAGGAAGTTTTGTTAATAATCCATTAACGTCGAGAATATAGAAGGCGGACAGACGATTAAGTGATAAAGATATAAATAGCGTGAGACGAGCGGGAAACAGCAGACAGATAATAGCAAAAGAGAATAAAGTTGGTGTGAAGTTAACAACCGTAGAAGTGATAGGCATAACGTTTTTTATATGTTTGAGTGAAACTAACAGTAGAAAAAAAGATAAGAAAAATAATTTTATTCCGTCAAAGCGTGGTTCTAAAGTAATTGAATCAGCCTGAGTGCATTTTGACAAAAGGAACAGATGATCTTCAAAGAAACAAGACCAAACGGTTGCGGTAACTCGCCCCAAAATTGTAAGTGAATAACACAAAATACTAGTGCGATAGAAATAAAGAAGTTAATTCAGCTTGTCAACTGAAATTCTAAATTAATTGAATAGGCCTAGGTGGATATTTGACAAGAAGGAGAGAACTAGATATATAGTATTTATGATATGTCCATAATATCTATAGTGTTGAAGAATTTACTATACATACCTTAACTTGTTCTGAATATATATATTATTTGAAAACAAGTAAAGTTTATACTGTTTATTTATCGTTGAATTTATCTCTAACAAGTCACAGACATTACTGTAGAAGAATCCTAAGCCCAACAACAACATAGTATATATTTATACTATTAAGAAATGTAACTAAAAGCCTTATTATTTTGAGAATTGGCGAAGATCAGATTTTTAAATTCCGACATATATATCTATTTCCATATGTAGGGGAGAGCGGGGAGAACTAGAACCCCTGCTGCAATTCTCGGGTTTATTGACCAATTTAAAAAAAGATAATATGATTGTGCTGGTCTCTAAGTCGTCCATTTTACAAGAAGAAACGTGGCAATCACATGCTTGTGATAAGTGTTGCAATCAAAACATTATTATTCACCTGTTAAAAGTTAATGCCCCCCCCCAGTGACACAGCGGTGTGTCTGCGGACTTACAACGCTAGAATCCGGAGATCGATACCCGTGATGGGCAGAGCACAGATAGCTCTTTGTGTAGCTGTGTGCTTAAATACAAACAAATAAAAGTTAATTTTAAGGATGTATACGATGTCTTCTTGTGAATAAGATAATAGAGTGACTACTGTTATCTACTAATAAAGCTAGGTATATATCAAACGTTGGTTAAACACTTGAATCTTTTGTGAATTACTTGCAAGTAAGAAATTCTGCTAAACATTTTGAGAGAGATTATAGTTGGGGGAGAACTGAGACACCTTGTTCCAGTTATCCCTAGTACCATTTATTCATTGTTTCAGGTAAGCTTGAAAATGCCAAAATTTCGTAAAAGAAAAACTGGCATGGGACTTGCTAGAAGCATTGAAGGCAAATCAATAAGATAAGTAGCAAAAGATAAAGGAGTATCAAAAAGTGTACTTGCAAGATATGTCAAATGTTCAATGAAAATGAAGAAAAACATTGCAGAATACCTAACATTTGCATCAAAGATGTTTCATGGTCTTACTCCTATCAAAGTGAGATAACTACCTTATGAACTGGCTCTGAAGAACAAATTTAGAATACCAAAAAATTGGAATGAAACAAAGATGGCCGGAAAGATGCCAAAGGTTTAATGGCTTTATGCACAGACATCCAACTCTCTCAATCCGTTCTCCTGGGGCAACATCATTGATGCATGCATCCGCTTTCAGTGAATGAGTTCTTCAATCTTTTGGAAACAGTTGTAAATGTTAAGAACATTGTTGGAAGAAGAATATGTAATCTGGATAAATCTGGATTTACTACAGTGCTGAAGGTTCTATAGGTTGTAAGCAGTAGAGGCCAGAAACAAGTGGGCCAAGTGACATAGCGTGAACGAGGTGAACTTGTGAAAGTTTGTGCCATCGTTTCTGCAAATGGAATAGCACAGCCTCTAGCTCTGATATTCCCTAGGAAAACTACAAAAGCACTGTAGCTCCTGAAGATTCCTTGAGATTGGTGTCTGAGTCTGATTTGGTGAACAGTGACCCATTCATAAAAGTTATGGAACACAGTCATTTTTCCAAGGAAAATCCTGTCACTCTTGTCAATGATAACCGCGAAAGCCATCTGTCTGGAGATTGCAAAGGACCATAGAGTACATGTTATCACACTGCCTCCACACACAAGTCATAGAACCTAGCCACTAGATCGGTCTGTTTTTGGCCCGATGAAGACCTACTTTAATGCTGAGGCAAACAGCTGGATGACAAGAAACGCTGGATAAAAGCTGCTACTCCAGCCAATATTACTGCTGGCTTCAAAGCTTCTGGGATTTGGCCACATGACAGAAATGTCTTTTTTGTTGACGATTTCTTCGCATCATCTATTATAGATCAACGTTTCAGTAACAATACTAAAGATTTGGCAAAACAAGGTCCACCTGTGACAGCTACTGCTACATCATTACTAATGAATGAGACGAGTGACCAGTCATCACCAGGTCCCAGTCAAGCAGATCCACCCGATCCCGACAATGATGAAGTTCATGCACAATCCTTCTCATCTGCATAGTCAGACCCAGGTCCCAGTCATGCTGATCCTCACATTCATGAAGTCCATGTAAAAATGTCTTCATCTGTACAGTCAGACCCCACTTCAGGTTCTGCTGCCTTCATTACACCTGAACAAGTATGGGAATAGCCGAAGTCAACATGTTGCTGTTTATTTAACAATTTGAATCTGATTTGACAAAAGAAAATCCAAAATTGTTTCAGATATATTTCATATATTGGTAAATTTTGCAGGTTGTTCAGAAAACTTCTTTATCAAACAGTGGTCGAAAAAGAGGAAAGACAATGATAGCTACATCAACACCAAAAATTAAACATATGAATGAAGCCCAATCTAGAGCAGCAAAAAATGCAAGACAGTGCTTGACTAATAACCCTAGGAGACGATTGGCAGTAGAGCCAAGGAAAGAAAGTTCAATCTCTGACGCCGATGACTATCTCGTTTGTGGATAGTGATGATACGCCAGATAACAGTTATAACAGAACAAACAGCAAGCTTACAGTTAGGAAATGTTGATTACAACAACACTAAGATTCACAGCTATGTGTTGGTTGAAATAAAAACACAGAAAAGGGGTAAACCAGTTTATTATGTGGGCGAAGTGCTGTCAGAATTTGTTGAAGATGATGACTGCTGTGAGGTAGAATTCTTAAGAAAACACCAACAGGTAGCAAATAAGTTGTTAAACACTTGAGTTCAAGATAAGGCAACAGTCAAGAAAGACCAAATCCAACTAGTCATGCCAAAACCAGTGGCCAAAGGTACAACTGCCTGTACACGAAATGAACTGAACTTTCAAGTCAGTTTTGTAAACCTTGATATTCGTTGAGAGGAAGAAAAGTTTCTGCAGTTGACAAGCATCCTGACAAAGTTATCTTTATTTAAATGTTTAATGATAGGAAAATATAACATTAAGATTTTATTGCTGCTACATATTTTGTGTAACAGATATTGCCTTGGACTATTTACTCAGACTTCTGTTTAATAATTTTCCCTGTATGTTCTATCATGTTACCACGTTACTGACAAGCATTAGTTAATATGTTAAGTCAAGTGTGACGAAACGTCAAATGTGTTTATCAAGCTGTTCCCTAAATGTTAATTTAGCTAGTGTTGCTCAATAAAATTTTTTTATTGTGACATGCCTCATGCCACTTCTATTTAAATTCGCCTCATGACATAATTACATAAAAATTACTTGTTTCGTTCAGAAAATATGCCTTTGCCAATAAACAGCAAATTCTATATGATTACATGTACCTGGATATGGAGTAATCTTGTTTCATGAAATATTTTATGTTGATGTCCCATTTCTCCCTAAGCAATGTCCCAGTTCACCCCAAACTAAGCTCCTTGCAAACTATGTAATAATTCCAAAAAGAAATATAATATAATAGTAATGAACATTTGCCTAATTTTAGGATTTCCTAAACTATTTAATTCAAGTTAAAACCATTGGCCACTTTTGACAATTGGATCGTGACAAAGTCAAAGATTAGAAGTGCGTGATATCGTGTCCTAGTTCTCCACGCTTTCCCACCATATTACTACCCCTAAAATTCTTCGTAAAACCGTATTCTAAAAATCTGAACTCAACCATTCTTCCTTTCTCTCTGAGCAGTAATATTCCAATACAAGTTATGCCGATTTCAAAGTAGTTTTCTTCAGATCTTCCTAATTCTGTGTGATGATGCTTACTGCTTTATCTTTGATAATACTAAGTATTTTGAGCCTATTTCTCAGTTACATTATGGAAATCTCCTTTATATTTTGGTTCTTTAGTTTTTCCACACCTATCTTCCTTGTTTTCATACAATGGCTATTTTAAGATGATGGTCATTATCGCAGTCAGATCTTCCATATGCACTTACATCTTCTAAAAATTTTCTAAGCTTTCTATTTATAACGATACGGTCTATCTGGTTCATGTCTCTTCCATCCTGAGATATCCAAGTTCCTTTATGAACGTTCAGGTGGAGAAATATAGTACCATCAGTGATGAAATTATTACTATTAGCAAATGAGGCCAGACTCACTTCCTTATGCTTACTTTTCTCATGTATTCCTTCCTTTACCATTGTTGATACAAAAACATCTACCTCTCTTACTCCTTTGGCTTTGAAATCTGAAATTATAAGGGCAATATCATATTTTTGGATGTTATCCAAAACATCCTGCAATTTTTCATAACATTTATCTTCATCTTCTAAATCCAATTAGGGGTATATGCTGAGATTATTGCAATTTTTAACCATCTACATCGTATTTTGATCTTTGCAATGATTTCACTGATATCCACAAAGTCTTCCAAATATTTTCAAAAAGAGAATCCAACTCCATTGCTACATTATCTAGTTTATATTTGTTGATCTTTTCCATCATGTTCTTTGCAGAGCTAGCTCCATATAGATACCTAACGTTCCATGTAGCAAATCTTAAGTGGGAATGTATTTTTTGCCCATTAATCTCTTCGATGTCGTCAACAAAATTTCCACCAATCCCACGCTCAGCTCAAGATTTGTTAACAAGTAATATTTTCACGGAATAGAGTTGTTAATCCTATTCCAATCCTCTACAATTTATCCGGGCTTGGGACCAGCATGGGTTCCACACTGAGGAAGAAAGAAACCAAGAGCCAGATTGACTCAGAGTATACAGCTAAGTTACCTTTGGAATTGTTGAAGAAATCGAAAAGTTCTGGAATAGCTATCACGTTCTCCAGATCTCAATCGAGTAGATATGCTTTGGACTGATATGATAAAGTTGTAGCCAAGAATTGTGTGTCAAACCTGTCTGAGATGCAGAAAATATGCAAGATTTTATAGGCTCACATTTCTCTAACAAAATGTAATGCGTTGGAGGATAATTATCATAAACGTTTGAAAGCTGTAACAAAAGTAAAAGGAAACACAAAATACTAAAGTATCGGTGGCAATACTTTTGTCTCGAACGAATAGTTTAAAGGGTCGATTTTGTTTTTGATAAAGATTATTTGGTAAATTTTCAGAAAGTGTAATTCTTGTATTTTTGTTTTATTAAAAATGATTAAAGTTTATAAAATGCTTATCTTTAATTTGTTCCTTCAGTTATACTAAGCATAATGTGTCAATACTTTTGTCTATGACTGTACCTAGCTAAAGTAAAAGGGACTACAATGGTATCACGGAGCGTCACAATTGAGTGAAATAACATGCCATTGGTTTGTAATAGTATTACTATGCTTGACTTTTGAGAGGATTAGCATATCTCTGTGAGTAGAATGGATTGTAGCAGTATCATGGAGCTAAAATAACAAATCCGTGGCGAATAAATGGAGTAGAGGAATATGACTGACCACGGTTGTTGATCGACACAACGTACCTGTGGCGGTAATATGGACGAGAGTATGTCGGTGCGTAACCGATTTCATAGCCTTGGTTGTGACCATAGTGGCTCCAAATTGGATGGTTTCGCTTATTGATCTCTTGCTGGTGGGGTATTTGGCTATTTTGTTCCACCTCCTTGGGCTCCGGCGGAAGAAGGTTTATGTTTGGTTCAGTGTCCCCATCGTGTTCGTCAAAGAAGATAGACGTGAAATTGAAACTTTTTGCTTTAGTTTCTGCCACCAGGCGATATATGTATTCACTAGGAAGAAAGAAAATAATAGTTAAAAGGATTTATACATTTAAACAAAATTTTTGAAGGATTTATGGCATCATGCTAAAGTTGTACGCGTTAGACAGGAAAAACGCCATAAAATGAAAAGAAAGAGATAGCATAAATCCATACAAAAATGTAAGAAATATTGTAGTAACACATTATTACACCAACATATTCCTCATGTTGTAGTAACACATTGTTAGAGCACCATATTTCTCATGTTGTATTCGGTTCGAACACAAAGATAGTGTAACAATAAGTGTATTTGATAGTGGCCAACATTCAAGAACAATGAATGCTACCCTATCCGTTTTGTAAAAGTGCAGTAAAGAATAATATGTGAAAGTGTGTTTGATATTGAGACATCGGTCAGTCTTTAGTAAAAACGAGCACATCAAAACAGATACTTTAAAATATTCTTGCATGACACTGTTGTAATAATCCCATTAGAAACGGTGGACTGAAAATAGGTAAACAATGCTTGTTTAACATCGTTACAATAAACCCATTAGAAACGGAGACTGAAAATAGGTAAACAATGCTTGTTTAACATCGTTACAATAAACCCATTAGAAACGGAGACTGAACATAGATAAACAACGCTTGTTCAACATCATTACGGTAATCCCATTAGAAACGGTGGACTGAAAATAGGTAAACAATGCTTGTTTAACATCGTTACAATAAACCCATTAGAAACGGAGACTGAACATAGATAAACAACGCTTGTTCAACATCGTTACAGTAATCCCATTAGAAATGAAAGACTGAACATAGATAAACAACGCTTGTTCAACATCGTTACAGTAATCTCATTAGAAATGAAAGACTGAACATAGATAAACAACGCTTGTTCAACATCGTTACAGTAATCCCATTAGAAATGGAAGACTGAACATTGATAAACAACGCTTGTTTAACTTCGCTACAGTAATCCCATTAGAAATGGAAGACTGAACATACATAAACAACGCTTGTTCAACATCGTTACAGTAATCCCATTAGAAATGGAAGACTGAACATAGATAAACAACGCTTGTTCAACATCGCTACAGTAAACCCATTAGAAACGGTGCCTGAACAAACTAGACAAATGATACAAGTTTGACACTATTACAGATTTAATGTTTGGAAAAAAATTTAATCCCCAGGTAATTCAACGGTAAATTTAAAGTATGTAACATTAAAATCCAAAGTTTAGTCCCCACGGCAGATACAGCACAGATTGCACAGCTTTGCGCTTAAAAACAAGAAAAGAAAGTCAAAATTTAGAAACACATAAACTATTCATATACAACTAGAATTCTTCATGTGCAAGGTGCTTAACAAACATTGTATCAAAAAGAGTTTTGTAAAATACACCTTCGTAACATTCCGAAATATAATATTTATTGTTCATAGTAATATTTCAATTATAAGTCTTCGTCAAGATATTTCACAAAATAGATACTCAGACATGGCTAGCAAGTGTAAATCAATAAAGAAAGATGGATTGTTTTATTTCACTGATCTGTTTTACTGTCATAGCAAGCACACTTTAGAAACAGTGATGTAGACAAAGTGAGTAAACGATGTATTTGATATTGCTATAGTAACCATACCTTGAATCATACAAATAAAGTAACAATATATGTATAATATTTGTAAAATAATCAGCCCATAAAAGAAAGTACCTATCGTGTAGCATCATGTTGCGTTACAGGATGATAGACTACAATATTTAGTACCTATCATGCAACGTCATGCTGCGTTACAGGATGATAGACTAGAATAATTAGTACCTGTCATGCTGCGTTACAGGATGATAGATTACAATATTTAGTACCTATCATGCAACGTTATGCTGCGTTACAGGATGATAGATTACAATATTATTTCCGTGGTTAACAAATAACTGAGTTAAAGGTGTTTACCTTGGGTAATAAGGAACATTTTTACAGACTGTTCGTCCTGTTTCAGGACAGTATTGAGGCTTGGGGAGGAAGGTAGTCTTTGGCGCAGACGTCTTTGGATATGAATAATCAGAGTAATAAACGACTTCGCTCATATGTGGACGCCATGGTCCTCGGTATGGTGGGTGGGGGATCACTTGTGGAATTAACCCGACCAGAAAAACAATCATCGGAAACTGGAAAAAGTATAAAGTTATTGTTCAACATTACAAAATATAGAAACTTTCCTAGAACAAACTTTTTGAGATGGCACAAAGCAATTAGTGTACAAAATCTAGATGACGGTTTTTAGATACATATATACACACACACATAGATATATCTTTAGACACACTTACTCGGTGTTTTTGTTAACAGAACTACTTAAATGTAATGTTTATCAGGTCATGGCAGAACAAATATATCAAATTTGTCACAGTATGAAGGACTTTCGTGGGGATAAGTCATATTTATGTAACTATTCACCAGTGAAATTAATTAGATAACATGAACGAAGTTTAATTTATGTTCCTTTAATGTTTCTTCACACAAAGGTATTAATCGGGAAACATATGAATCATAACCTGTGTAACGAATATAAATAATCATTAATTGACATAGACAAAAGTACCTGTCAACCAAAAAATATTTTCTGTAAAACATCACAGTTGAAACGTGATATTTTCTCTTAAATAGCTTAACCATTTTTTGAAGCGAAAAGAAAAAAAAAAGAGAACCACTACTTTTACTGATCAGTTTTGAATATGTTTGTTTTCAGTTTTACATCTTCTTGGAACGATCAAAAAATTAATATATTATAAAAGATAAAAACAATTGATGTTATGTAGTAGAGTTATATTAATTGAAATCATTTAAAATATTCTAATATAACTTCTAAACACAGACAGACTAAATATTACTGCTACAATGTAGTTGGTAAGATAACCAGACCAATAAACCAAAGGTCTTGAACATAAGGTCAGCAAATTAAAAACTAGACTACAAACTGCAATGTGGAAAAATCATAATTATCCTAGTAATTTTCCTTCCGCTTTTAAGAACAGGTCACTTTTGTTCTGTTCCTTTTATAAACCACCCTCCCTTCAAGTCTGAACATTGACAGACTTTCTTTAGCAGAATGAATCTCAAAAGCTATGGTGGATTGAGACTACTGTAGTCAGACCAGATACATTAGCGGTCACCTATTCACAAAGACTTTGTTATTGTTATGTTGATACCTAGCTGGAACTTGGCACAAAATAATTACGATCAAGTGTGTTTCTGTAATTTGTGGTAATGTACGGTATTAAATATAAACAATTCAATCTGCATTTTAATTATTTATAGTATTAGCTAGATTGATATATAATATTAACTTTCTTATATAGTAATAGCTCCATTGGCTAAATGTTGTAGGCATGTTACACGAAGCTTTAGATGTTCAGTGTTTAGTAATGTCGCTAAGTAGGCCCATACTCCACAAGTATTCTTGGATTAAGGTCCGTAAATACCGCTAGTAGTGGGGGTTTCCAACTGCTGACTTAGTTAGTTTGTTTGTTATGAATTTCGCGCTAAGCTACTCGAAGACTATCTGCGCTAGCCGTCTCTAATTTAACAGTGAAAGACTAGAGGAAGGCAGCTAGTCATCATCACCCACCACCAACTCTTGGGCTCTCTTTTACCAACGAATAGTGGGATTGACCATCACATTATAACGCTCCCATGGCTGAAAGGGTCTGGTGGGACGGGGATTCGAACTCCCTACCAGCAGATTGCGAGTCGAGCACCCTAACCGTCAGGCCCCTGATGACTTAGAGAAGAGTGGAGATTGCGTGTCGAGCACCCTAACCATGCCGGGCCTCAGATGACTTAGAGAAGAGTGGAGATTGCGTGTCGAGCACCCTAACCGTCTGGCCCCTGATGACTTAGAGAAGAGTGGAGATTGCGTGTCGAGCACCCTAACCATGCCGGGCCTCAGATGACTTAGAGAAGAGTGGAGATTGCGAGTCGAGCACCCTAACCGCCAGGCCCCTGATGACTTAGAGAAGAATGGAGATTGAAAGTCGAGCACCCTAACCATGCCGGGCCTCTGATGACTTAGATAAGAGTCTGTATCAGTTTAGGATTGCGGGCGTAGATGGCCTTTGTATAGCTTTGGGCGAAAATTTATAACCAAACCTACCATAAAGACGTCGTGTAATAAAGGAACTTCTATATAGGTTTTGGGAATTTATTCTTTTGGAAAAACAAGGCATGAGTGACTTATTGGGACTATAACCCGTAAAATGAAATTTTTCACCGAATTCGAGATACAGTTTTAAAACGTTCACATTTGGTTTATAGCACATCCAGCAATTGATCATACATGTATTATATTTCAATTTGATTTTACTTGCCATGAAACATTAATATTAGGCTCATTATATTTTTATCACCACATTCTTTATTCAATCACTTTGGGTTTTGTATATTTTATTTTGACCTGTGGATATGAGAACTAGTGTCTTAATATGTAACAGCTGTTACGAGGATGATATATAAAGTAATAGTAAAATAAGCCCTTAGCTTCCAAGGAAGTTTAATGTTACAAACGCCTTCAAATTGTTGATTATTTTAACTGTCTTGTTACATAGTTTATAAATTTTGGTGGAAAAATATATATTTGTCATTATTCCTAGCTGGTTCGAACCCGTTTTTTTTCTCTTGTTATTTATACTGGTGCCAAGACTATTTCACTTGTCTTATTATTCCTACTCTGGCCTAGATTATTTCATTTACCCTATTTCTAGTCGGCTCAAGACTATTTCATTTCCGTTATTACTCATAGTCAAGCCTAGATTATTTTATCTGGCTCGTTACATCTAGTCAGGTCTAGACTCTTTTTTTTTAAACTACTACATCTAGCCAGGTCTAGACTCTTTTATTCACACTGTTACATCTAGCCAGGTCTAGACTCTTATATACACACACTGTTACATTTAGCCAGGTCTAGACTCTTTTATTTACAATGTTACATCTAGCCAGGTCTAGACTCTTTTATTTACATTGTTACATCTAGCCATGTCTAGACTCTTTTATTTACATTGTTACATCTAGCCATGTCTAGATTCTTTTATTTACATTGTTATTTCTAGAAAGATTTAGACTATTGCATTTACTTTGCTATTTTTAGCGAATCTACACTGGTTCTTTTACCTTGTTATTTGTAGCTTAACTAAAACTATTTCATCTAACTTTTTATTTCTAGCCAGGCCTAAGCTATTTCATCTACCTAGTTATTTTTAGCTTAACTAAGACTATTTCATCTAACTTTTTATTTCTAACCAGGCCTAAGCTATTTCATCTATCTAGTTATTTCTAGCTTAACTAATACTATTTCTTTTATGTTGTTATTTCTAACATGGCCTACACTATTGCATCTACCTTGTTATTTCTAGCTTAACTAAGACTTTTTCATCTGCCTTGCTATTTCTAGCCAGGGCTAGATTATTTCGTTATTTCTATATTTTTGTTAATTCTAATCTCTTATATTGCTATTTCTACTGGTTTGATATTACTTAATTTACTTTATTTCTAAGTAGGTCTATATTATTGCATTTGATTATTCCTTGTGATATTATTTCGATTAATTTCTGTTATCAAGTAATTACACTTTTTTCATATCAATATTAATTTTGCAGATGTTTTCAATAATATTTAGTGAATTTATTTTCTTAATTTGTTGATATTGTTGCTTTAGTGCTTATCACTTCCACTGGACTGCAATAATACCCAAAATTCACATATGTAGTTGTTGTATAAGAAACTCAAATTAATATTGTAATTGAATCATGGCTTATACTAATTAAACTGCAACGAAGTGTTATTGGACTAATCAGAAAGTATTTCACATTGTTTATACACTTAGTTAGGTCTCTCTTGAAGAAAAGGCTTATAGTTATATGCCCGTTTGTAAACTATAACAAAAACATTGCCACAAGTTGCCAAGGGTGAGCATAATTTGTACATTTGTCAATTTGAACTTAATTTATAATATGTTTTTTTGTGTGTTGTACTAGTTAAAGGTAATTTCCTTTTTGTATTGCTTTTTAAGCACTATGTATAAAATACTATTATATATATAGAGAAGGTGTTCACGATCTATGGTAAAAATATACATGTTCAATTACCTTGCCTTTGGCTATTCCCGTGGCCCGTGACCATGCATTAAAAGCTCTACTCCTCTTGCTGCAATTCAGTTAAAATGTGGAAAAGATAGTGGTAACGTAAGCGTAGACACTCTTCAAGTAAGGAAAAACTAGCGTTAACTTCTAGTCGTACAATGGAAGTAACACAATAACAGCTGAAGTAAACACTTTTCTTAGAACTCTTAGCAAACAAATTCACACAAATATAGATTTATAAGAGCGGTATTAATAAACTGCTCCTAAAGTATATAGTCTAACAGAAAACCAGCTTCCAAAAGCTACAAGAGTGGTACATGACATGTAACAAACGGAAATAGTTTTTTTTTCTTAGACAGAGTACATGTCTACTTAGATGTCTGTAAAAGTTTGGCCAATTTATTATTGTCATGTCGGTGATATAATACTTTTAAAAAAAAGGACGCTGAGCATGTTGCGAAAATATATCAAAGCAATTACAGTGATTGAAGATTACAGCTATAATGGTAAACATCCGAAAAGTCCAAAGAATTCTTCTTACAATTGTCCTTCGTTATTCACCAGCCACACACGCCGAGTTTTCCACGATGAAGTTATATAATATTTTTGTAAAAACTAATGTCCGATGTGAATCCACTGAAGTTAAATGATTTGTAATGTTCGAACTTTGTAATTACTCTTGGTTAAATATCTGAAGTTTTCCGATTAATTATAGTTATAGCTTCCGAAGTTTATAGTCTACTGACTATAGCAAACTAATAATAAATACTGTTTTTTGGCGCGTCGGCGTTGGTAATATTTATGGGTGTGTGGAGAGATTTTTGAAAATTCAGATTACGTAACAATACAAAGTTGCACTGGCGTTTACGTACACTCGTATATTGTTGATTCTTACACTCGAGAATCTTCTACAACTTTAGAGAATAGGCGGGGGTT